TCCCATCTCCTCCTGCCATCCCATCTCCTCCTGCCATCCCATCTCCTCCTGCCATCCCAAATCCCATCTCCTGCCATCCCATCTCCTCCCTGACGGCAGCGGGGTACCCGGGTACCAGCACCCGCCGTCTCGGGAGCTCTATTGACAGTTATCCAGAATCTGAAGGAATTCAAGACAAATTGTTAAGAGGATGGAGTTAATAAAATTTGAAAAATTGAGGCCTGTCACTCTACTAAACTTTTTTCGATACCGCTGACAGCAACATATTTCCCCAATGAGTGACCTTATGCAGCTGCTCCTGCGACGCGGCGCTGCGCGGGCGCTGGCAGTGAACCGGCGCGCTATTTATCAAATATTATAAGCCGGGGCCTCCTAATATGAGCGGGGAGGAGGGGGAGGAGGCGACGGCCGCCCACAGCCCGAGGTGTTGCCCAGGTGTCCGTCTCCAGCTACAGACAGCTAGTGGGAGGTGACAAATTGCCTTCTATTAAGTCTCGGAAGGTTGGCGTCCCCTCCGCCGCCGCTCCAGCCAGCCGCCGGGGTGGGAGAGGGCAGGGAGGCGGTGGGGACGGGGAAGGGGGTCAGGCCGGGGCGCCGACGAACCCCTCGCCGCTTTTACCTCCTATTAGCGAGCCAAGTGACACCGTTATTTATTGCGGCGTAATATTTTATTGCCGCCGCTACTCGGGGTTGGAATCGACCAGTTGCAGGAGTCGGGTTCTATCAATTATTGCAGCAATTAGTCAAGTCGTCAAAGCCATTAACAGGGGGATTAGGCCAATATTGGAGAGCCGTTATTGATAGATCCGGGGGAAGGGAACAGCCCGACAAACCCTCAGCCTTCATCTGAGACGAGAGCCGGCCTGGCCCGGAGGATGCCGTGGCGTGGAGGGGGCAGAGGAGTTGCCCCCCTCCTCCCCGCGCCGGCCCGGGGTGGGTTTCGGCGGCCGGCAGGGTGGGGGGAGCGCTGCCTTTTTAAAAGATATTGAGCGGCCGGCCTCGGCGGCGGGTAATCTCACCTGTCTCCGTCATATTCGTTATTTGCCGTGACAAGGCTTGCGATAGAAATTACTCTGTGCCGAATGTTTATGGAGCGCATTTTTCATTCTGTAAGCAAATATAGATCCCCGATGCCGACGCTTAGAAATGGCTCATCTCTCCGGCTCCCGCTCGCGGGGCGTCCCGCTCGTTCCCTTCGTCTATTATGATTGCTCCGCGCTCCTCTTGAGCGCGCCGCCTGCTCTCTGCGCTCCCCTGCGCTCTGCCAAGCGGGAGCTGCAGCGGGCTTTGTGCCTCCCGCCTCGCTCCCGCCCTTCCCGGCGGGATGCGGGATGTTTGCCGAGCCCCCGTGCGGAGCGGGGATGCTCTCGCGCTGCCCGGGCTTCCCCTTTTCCCCCCCGGCAGCCGGTCCTTGCCCAGCACCTTGTCACTGCCGTGTCCCAGCCAGACCTGCTGAGCAGA